GGACATTGTGATTGAAACAACAAAGACAATAACATTTATCCAAATAATAATAATGCTTTATTTGAAATGATATGAATCTTGGAATAATTTACTTGGAAACTATAGATTTCAATTGGTAGTTAATTGTGATTAAAAAAAAATTAATTAAAATCTTTATTGTTGTGGAGATCCTTGAATAAAAACACTTGACTATTATCTCAGCTGAAAGGAAGGAAGAAAAAACTAATAAAAGGAAGAATAGCTGCCTTCATGCATTGCATCATGGGAATAGGGTTTTCATGTATTACTTATTTCACAAAATCCATAGTAAAAACTCATATACATATTTACCACTTTAAATCAGTTAAAGAACATTTTTAATGGTCTTAATTTATGTTGTTAAATTCTTCTAAACTTGCTCTCACAACACTGAGAGAACATCGAGAGTGGAGAAGCAGCCATTACCCACACATCACACTTATTAGAACCGTAACTTCCCAAACCACACACACCTCTTTATTCACGCACACATACATACTAAATGATACAGACTTTGTTCCTTCTTTGTCAAGTTACAAAAAGAGGATGTCATTTTACTGCTGTATTTGATGTACTGGAATCATAGAGAATAAGGTAAGTTTCTTTTTTTTTTTTAATTATATTTTAATGATATTGAGATAAAATATTTTTGTAGAGGTTTATGGAGATAGAAAAATTGCTGTATTAGAATATGCTTAAACAATTTAATTAAGTTTTCTCTCAAAATTACTCAATGTTTCTCTCAAAATGTTTTCTGTCTCAAGTGATGCATAAAATCTTACTTTGAAAACACTGTTATTATATTGTAGTTGGAATACTACTTTGAAAAAAAACATACTCAGACCTTTCAGACATTAACTGCTAACATCTCCATTGAATGACTTTAGTAGCCATTATAAATAATCTGTTATAATCACATGTTGTAAATAATCGTCTTCTCTAGTTGTATATGATCTTGACTTGTTAATAATTGTAGCTTTTCATGTATGTAAGAGAATCAGAAAATATATCTGAGTAACTAGTTTTAAAATACTTTTCATAAATTACATACCTGTAGATGTATATTTCCTCAATCATCATAATAGTTATGGATATTTACTTTTCAAAATAAGATTGTCCTTAATATAGATAATGTTAATACAAGCATATTATGTCAAAGAAACAGACTAGAATAAATGATATTACTTTAATGAACTACCATTTAATAGAATATATTTCTGTGAAAAATTATATTTAAAATTTTAAAGACATAAACATGGTAGGGTATTATTTATTTTCTTTTTATATCAAGTTGACTCACTTATAAATTCACTCATAAATGCTTACTTGAGTGAAAGCATTTCTGAGAAAACTAAGAAGCTTTTCTTTTTAATAGATTAAAATATAAACTAATTGATAGTCAACAATGACACTTTAAAATATCACCCAAAGTGCTTCACTTAAAACTATTTTTAAATATCTGTCTGAATCAGTAGAACATGGAATATTTTATGTCGAAATAGTACTGTGATTTTCAGATAATGTCACTCAAATATTTTCATTTCATTGTGAAGAAGTAAAACATCGTTTTGTTTTACACTTTCTTGAAAAGTCGAAAGAGAAAGCTAAAGAAATATGTATTTCATATAAATACTGTTGAAAATTAAGGGGAAATAACTCCTCATCACAACGTGTTTGACAAATGCAGTAAAAGACAAGATAATTTTAAAATTTTAAGCTGTTTTGAACACATTTTCAATTTTTTATTAACTGACAAAAGTATTATCTCACAAAATGTAAGAATCTCCACCAAAGGAGAATTTTAAAATATACTTACTGTTTTTGGATTTGCTGATTATTAATTTGTTTTGATGCATTTCTTTTCTGTTATTGGGGAACATATTATTTAATATTAAGCACTTGAAGTTATATGGTAATTTTTCATATTGTGTACTAACTTAAAGAACCCAAAGATTTTATGATGGAGTGTCTATATGACAAAGGAAGTACATTGTTTAGCTAATAGATTAAAAAAAAACTTTTCCATTTTAAGATTGAAAACAAATGAAAAGAAATTGCTTTTAAATAGAATTTCATCTTATTATTGATTTAAAATAGATATTTATACATTCATATTCATTTCTGTCATATGCAACGTGACATCTCACCTGAGATTTTGTCAGATTATTCTGTATATTTTTTAAACAAAACTGATAATTAAGAATAGTTAATGTTAATATCCTAACAAGAAAAACAGTTCTATTAGAGTTGGTATTCAATGCTGTTCCCATCTGAGAAACTCCATTTGATATTTTATAATTATATTTGTTTTTCCTTCTTTTTTCATTCAGATACTTCATTTTATATTATAAACACTGTTCTCAAAACTTAGAAATTGATATTGTTGCATTGCAAAATTTCAAATTAATTTCAAACAATCATACCTTAAAATAATTTTAAAAAATTTTTTTATCATAACTTTTAATCAATGATCAAGTTTTAATTATGCTTATGAATTCAGCATTTATTTTAAAAAAGATTGACTAAAATTATAAGTTTAAAATACAGTAAATATTTAGAGAAACAAATAGTATAAAATACAAAAAACTATTAAATCCACTTTAAATATATATAAATATAAACTTTACAAGTTTAACAAATGATTTATTGCCCTTTCATTTTATTGCAGATTTATACTAAACATGTTGGTTTCAGTGCATCTTCTACTGATTGTCTTCCACTCCTGTTTGTGTGCTGATCTTATCTACAATGTGAAAGAAGAACAGAGTCCAGGCACATTCATTGGCAATATTGCCAGAGATTCAAATGTCATGGAAAGTATTACTTTGCAAGATCATAAACACATCACGTTCACACAACACAAAAAAGGAAACTCTCAACTATTCCGTGTTGCAAAGAATACAGGAAAACTATACACTGCACAAATACTGGATGCAGAGTCTTTGTGTACTTACAATGTAGAATGTTTCAAAATGATTGATGTTGCTGTAAGAAAAGCCAAGTCTTTTATAAAACTTTTAGAAATTAAAGTGATTATAAAAGATGTTAATGATCACCAGCCAGAATTTCCAGACAAGCAAGTTTATATTGAATTTGATGAAGATATTATACCTGGAAAGAAAAAATCAGTTCCCAGTGCAAGAGACAGGGATCTCAGTGTCATTTTTTCTCATATTAATTATCAACTTGTAAATGAAAAAGAATATCCTTTTAAACTGTCTATATCAAAAACCCTTGTTGGAAAATCAGATCTGGGTATTGTTTTAAAAGAACAATTAGACAGAGAAACGAAAGATTCTTACTTAATTCAAGTCATAGCAAAAGATGGAGGCTCTCCCCCAAAAGAGAGTATTTTAAATGTGCATATTTCTGTCATTGATGTCAATGACAATCCACCAGTGTTCTCTAAAGATTTGTATAATGTTTCTATCAAAAATGAACATGACAAAACCATTTCAGTGATTACGTTATCTGCTACAGATTTAGATGCAGGACAAAATGGAAATATTTCCTATCATTTTGATCCCAAAACAACAGATTTTGCTAAAAACAGTTTTGCATTAAATGAAGTAACAGGAGAAGTTTTTCTACTCAGAAATATACCACCAGGACAAAATTTAATCCATAATTTATACATTGAAGCTAGAGATGGAGGAAATCCTCCCTTAAGTTCCTTTGCAATGGTTCAAGTAAATGTGACCAACCAACAAAATAATGCTCCAACAATAGATGTGAACTTTTTCTCAGCATCTTCTACAGAAAATTCTACAGTAATTTCTGAAGACATTGAGGTGGGCAGTTTTATTGCCTATGTGAAAGTAACTGATCATGATACTGGCCAGAATGGAGAGGTTATATGTGATCTCCATCATGATAAGTTTAAATTGAAAAGTCAAGGCTTGAAAAAATACCAAGTGATTTTGAAAGATCCATTGGATAGAGAGACTGAGGAACATCATGACATCACAATCAGTTGTGAGGATATGGGATTCCCACCAAGACATAGTGAGAGTAAGTTTTCCATTAAAGTGATGGATGTCAATGATGTAAAGCCAAAATTTTCTAAATCCAGATATAAATTCCATATCAATGAGAACCAGAAACCTCATATTGATGTGGGTTCAATCAATGCATCTGATCCAGACTTGGGACCTGGAGGCGAACTGATCTTTTCTTTTGCATCAAATAAGAAGAAAAGTCATTTGCCTTTTCTAATCACAAAAGATGGTTTTATTTCAACAAGTGAATCATTGGACCATGAATTACAAGATGTTTATAAATTTGAGGTTTTGGTGAAGATAATGGAATCCATCACTGAATAATACAGTGGATGTGATTGGAGATTGAAGATGAAAATGATAACAGTCCATATTTTACATTTCCCAGTGTTAATCCATATAATATAGAAGTTGTATATTTTGCTGATGAAAGCAAGAACCTGACAGTTGTGAGGGCACATGATAGTGATAGTCAAGAGAATGCCTTTCTCAGATATGAAATAAGTGCAGGCAATGAGAAACAGTTGTTCACCATTGACCATTACAGTGGTTTGTTGTCTTCTACTGGTGCCCTTACAAAACAAGATGCTGGCTCATATGAACTGGAGTTTGTAGTCAAGGATAGTGGCATCCCAGTTTTATCATTTAACTACAATCTTTTTAAGACTGATTGTGAAAAATAAGACTTCTTCTTTGGAAAGAGTAAATGGTGTGCAGAGAAGTCAATCAGAGGAGAAGGTGCATCTTAATATGGTGATTATTATTACATTAGCGGCCGTCATGGTGACTATCATCATTACGGCTTCAATCTCGATCTGTGTGCTTCGCTGTTGTAATGTTTCAAGTGGAGATGGAGATGATGTTCCTAATAGATATGTTAGTGAACAAAGACATTTGATGTCATCTTCTTATCGAGGGAGCTCTTGGCCAGAGGTTCCTATTACTATGATAAATGATCCCAACTTTGGCAGGAGTGTTGAAGAGATGGCAGCCAGCAGAAGGGAGTCATATCCGAGGTTTGTTAACCAATCTATGGCAATTAGGCCTCATACATCTGTTGATATCTCCTGCCAGGTAAGCAAAAATATTAAATATACATTTTTCTTTTTTTTTTTTTGGTGTAAAATATTTTTACTTAATTTTGTCTTTTTATCAATTTTTTTCTGTAAATTTCTTTTTGAGTTCTTAGCATTAAACATAAATTCAATTAAGTAACTTCTCAATTAAATTGGATATTTAATTGCCATTGTAGGCAACATAAAGACTGATAATGAAATAATGTGTTTCTATTTTTTCTTTGTTTTTAGTTTGTTTTGAATTATATGAGAAACACTAAAAATAATGTTCTACTCCTACCATATTCTATTATACCTATTATTTTGTATTAATTTATTTTGTTTATTTATAATTATACATCTTTATAATTTTAGTTCGTTATTCCTGTCATTATATTAAGTGATATAGTTCTAAAGCATATGCCACTGTAATTAAGTATAATTACATCTACAGACAATATCATGGTTTTACAGCTTTTATTGATATACTTAAATTTATTTAAATACATTACATTGTAAAATAAACTGATTCATTTATGGTACAATTAAAAAAAGCTATCCTAAGAACATGCCTTTGATGAAAAAAATATGAACAATTTCAATCAGTGAACATGTGGTCTAACAAATTACATAAAGATACTGATATGTCCTGGAAAGGGATATATTTGAACAAAGTAGCTAAGTGGTTTTGACTACTATAACCAAGTAGAATATGGTAGGAGTAATTGACTGGTATGCGTCATAGTCAGAGGTAAGAAGTGTGGATCAATGGCGTAGTCCAATGGGTGTCGTTATAGACTTAGCTCTCAGATTAAGGCTCTTGACTCTTCTGACTCTCCTATGTGTCCATCGATATTTATGATGGACACCAGCCAATCACAATCCAGTGAGGGGTAACATAGGTGTATGCATATTCCATTATATCAGTGTTGTAGAGTAGTTTTTACAGTGGAGGCTTGTATTTTGCTAAGTCAGTCCTAAAAGGGTCCAACGTACAAAATGTTAGGAACTTGAAATAAGAGTTAATGACACAGCAATCTAGTTGTGATGGTTGATACTTCAATGTCCGACATCGACTGACTCACTCAACTCCACTGAGCTCAACTGGCGACTGCTACTACTACTACTACTTATTATGTGTGAGAGAGTCTATTAATAATAGAATAGGTATGTTCAGGTATAACAATCAGATACTTTTAAAATAAGGTTTGATTGTATTATATAGTTATATTTTAGGTTGATTATTTAAACAAATATGATTTTGTGTTATAATGCAGATGACAGATGGACTTCAGAATAGTGAGAAGAATACACTGATGACACCTACATGGAGATCTACACTATCTTCTCGTGCTGACAGTGGACGTGGTTGGAGCGAAGGAGACACAGGACATGCAGAAGAGATGGCAGGTAAAAGAGTTAAAAAAACTTGATATTTGATAAAAAAAGTCAATTTTTCTCTTTATTTATAATATGGATATGTATATTCACAGATAATGAAATATTGAAAGCTGTTTGTTTGTTGTTTCAGATCAGCTGATTCCACAATTCTGCAAGCCACAGGGTGGACAGGTCAACAAAATGGATAAGAGGCACATAGAAGGAAATTTTAGCTACCCAAATGAATCAACAACAATTTCAGCAAGATGTTTTTCAAAAGCAACAAATAATCCCAACAATCTATTTAGAATGGAAACAGAACAAAAATCTCATCATTTATCAGACAGTATTCAAATTACTCACAATGCCAGACCACTGCCTCCTGTACCTCATAAAATACACTAATACTTTACTTTAAAGAATTATACATATTTTAAAACCTGTATGCACTAATTTTTAGTTATGAATTTTCATTTAACATTAATTCAACCCATCAGTAAAATAAACCTAATAAAAATGAATACTTCCTGTACCTCATAAAATACACTGATTATATACTTTACATATTAACAGACTGCAAATGCATTTATAGTAGGCACTGTTAATTATTATAGTAAAATGTAAAGAGCAGAGTCAAAAAAGTTAATAAAATAAAAATCTTAATTATTTTGTAACTCTCCAAGAACAGAATCGAATATGCTAATTTCCACAAATTGCATAAATATTATGAGATTCCTTTATTTTCTCTTCAGAAAACAATATAGAACTGAACTCTTAATTTTATTTGTTGAAGAAATATGAAGAAAAATGCATTTGCATTTTTATTTATTTATTAATTTCAGTCAGATTTAAAAAAATAATGTTATATAAAAATTACTTCCCTGAAATAATCATTTTAAGATGTAATTTATATTAAAATTTAACTTATTGGTAACATTAATATATTTCATATGAGATATGTTTTAACTCTTTATTCAGCTATTATTATAAAAAAAAATATATTAGTAAACTTTTAATGAGCCTATTTTGTTTTTTAAATAACATAAGAATATATGTATACTAGTGGGAATTATTTAAATTAAAATTGTAATAATAACTAAAAGAAAATTATGAATCAGATGAAAAATGTTCTTTAAGAATGGATATAACTGAATAATTGTTAGAATAATTTAAACAATTGGTTTATATCATAAAATGATTAAGCAATTAAATAAAATCAAGTAAGGTCAATTAAAAGTTACTCTTTTTCCACAATATTTTGAAAAAAAAAAAAAACAATGATTATCGTAACAGAAAGGAAGGAGGAAAGAAGCTGAGAAATGGAAGAATAGCTACTTTCCCCCATTGCATGATGGGAGAAAGGGTTTAGTCTTCCAGTTATTTCTCAAAATCTTTAGTACACGAAGATATGAAAATTTATCATTGTATCTTCAGAAGACAGTTAATATCCTGGCTTAATTTATAAGTTATGTTTCTTTTGGCCTGTTCTCATGACACTGTGAAAACTCTCAGAGTAAAAGCAGCAGCCATTACTCACACATCATGCTTACTAGGATCATAACTTAAACACACAGAAGCTTGCTCATTTAGTTACACACATTTATTCACTCATTCATACACACGGATGCACATTCAGTGATATGGTCTTTGTTCCTTTCCTGTCAAAAGATACTGGAGAACCCCATTTGTGGAAGAGGATGTAAATATGCAACTATATCAGATATACTGTGATTTTTTAAAAAAAAGGTTAGTTTTAATTTTTTTTGTTTTTTTTTTTGTGATTCACATGAATGTTTTTTTGTGGAAGTAGATGGAGTAGAAAAGTTGAAATATTTGGAAGATATTCTCAGAGAATTTGATGAGAAAGTCAAATTCTCAAAATGATATCTATTACATAGAATCTATATTAGAAATCTTAAAATAACACTATTGTTTCCTAACTAAAATTCATATAAAACAATTGATTATTTTTTTAATATAATGGAATTTAGAAATTATTAATAATAGTTCCTGGTGGACTTTTCATCTGCAGTGAATGACTTTGTGTAGCACTATAAATGCTATGAACTGCTAAAGTAACATACAAGTAGTATAAACAAAATAGTCTTGTATTCATTCACACTAAGTTTAACTATGTTAGTTATTTGCTTAAAATTGTAGCTTCACAAAGTGTTAAAGAAAGTAAAAATAATATATCTGAACATCTACAATGTATCAGATTTTATTACACAAGTTAATGTTTTCATAATTAGTGTTGACTAACTGATGCTGGTTTGATTTCCAGGATGAACTTTTATTTATATAATAAATTTCAGCTTGTAATATTTATCCTTATTTAAAATACTGATTACATGTTTTGAGGCTGTCAGGTTTTATTATGAAAACAAATTAAGTGTAACATAAGTTTTTTTTATTTATATATAAGTACAAACATAGAAGCCATAGTAACAAATATGATTAAGACAATATGCCATATACTTGAATAAATTATTTTATAGGTTAATAAATATTCCTTGACACTCTATAATATTCATAAGTTTTTCATTTACTTATTAACTTTTCTAGACTTTTAACTTCAATGTCACTTTCAGCAGATTTTATTGCCTCTCAGTGACTTATATATTATTTTCTGTTCTCATATACATCACTTTTAATGATAGACTACAAGTCTTCAGTTAAACTAACCCATTAATGACCATGGTAAAATTCAGTATTAATTATAAATATAATAATTTTAGGTTTCTAAAAGAAATCTTCTATTAATAATTATTATAAAAATTTGTCATTAATTATGAGTTCCTATCTATAACTAATTAATTCCTACTGTTCCAAAACAGAATGGCAGACATTGTCAGTTAAGTTCCCTGTATGAGACATGCTTGGGCGATCATGTGTCATTCGATACATGACTGACTAGGCAGAAGATTTTTCTCATAGTAGGTTGCTATTTCTTTCTGCGGCAGACTGGTAGCCAACCCAGCCTGTCTTGCTATTTAACCCATAGCTGGAAGGAGAAGAGGTGGATTCATATCTTTCCCAAGTCCGTAAGTGAATATAATGAATTTGACTGGAATAAAATGGGTTAATATCAAGAGAGGCTCAGAAGCATTCCATTAATTTTATGTCTTTAAAATCTTTTTTTGGTAAATTCTCTATATCTTGTTTCTTTTTTGGGGTTATATTTTTCTTCTAACCCATAACATCTTTAAATATCTTAAACTGAAAAATAAATATCAATAATTACACCATTATATATAATTATTTACAATATGATGAACAACTATTGAGTTGTATAATAAAATCTTGCATCATCAAAATGGTTATTGTAAACATTTCTAATAAAAACAGATATAGGCTGAAATTCAAATGGTATATTTATCATATAAGTATATCCTGAATTTTGACCATTATCTTTTTGTTAATACAAATTTTCTTGTCAAAACATTGACTTTTGCATAAGACATAGTGTAGTTAAAAATATTATTTTCATAAACTGTTTCTATACAATTGGGACTGATTTAAGAATGATATGATTTATGGATAAGACATAGAATTTTAAACAAGCATAAAAAATTGAAGTCACTGAAATAAAAAAAAAACAACTTAATACTGACATTGTAATAAAACATATCTATTAATTTGAATAATACCCAGGAATAATTTATATAAATGGATACATAAAATTTTAAAAATGAAATACATAAAGGTTTCAAGATATATCTTTATTAATCTCTACTGACAAATTGATTACTTACATAAGCTTACTTTTGATTCTTATTGTAGCGTCAATTTAAACATTGGAAAGTTATCATTATTTTTCAAGGTTTTTTTTTTAAATGTGTTTAGAAGTAAACTGAAAACAAAAGAAAATATCAAATTGGATCAAAATAAATTTAAATATTTCTTTTCATAATTTGCATGAAACATTTTATTTGACAATAACAGCATTATTTCATAATGAAGCAACTTCATAAAACAATTGAATATTTTAAGGTGTAGAAAATTATTTTATTTCAACCAAGAGAATTTGAAATACATTAGAATATATTTCATTATTTTTTGGAAAGATTAAAGGAACAGAATAATCCATTGAAATTACCTACTCCATGAAATTATTGTTACAAGCAAGTGTAGGGGATATAACTCTACATATTTATATAAATGATATTCGTGTCTAATTGAATGACAACATTTGAAAAAAAATTCAGTGACATATTTCGTTCCAAGAGTGAACTTCTATAGACAAGTATAATTTTATTGGTAGAATCAGTTTTATATATATATATATATATATATATATATATATATGGGAAAACTTTTATTGATTCCTTCAATAAAACAGTTGTAGCATACCTACAGACGATAATGGGTATGCCCCCATTCCCATAAATACAGTAGTGAATACAGTACATGGTCTAGAGTTGGAGATTCATTGTGGAATTCACTTGACTCACTTCTAGCAGTTGACTATTTCTTCTATGTGCCGCTGACGAATCTTATATGTGTTATTCTTGTCTTAAGTATTATCATTCATTACCAACCTTCGTTTGATATTTTATTCAGTAACCTTCCTTAGGTTACAGCAAAAAAAGTTATTGGAATGTGTGACTAATTTTGTCATTCACTTAAGTCACTAGTAATCTCATATATTTTTATCTCATATGTTTCATCAATAATGTTACAAAAAGATTAATTTAAAAATTATGACTTTTACAGAAATTTTCCTCTTAATAACTAAAGAATCATTTCAACAAAAAGTAACTATTTCTGCAAACAAAGAAAACTCCTTCAGTGAAATAATACAGACAAATGATTCATTCAGTGTTAAATAACAGAAGTGATATGTTTACAGGTGATGAAAAGTTATATTTTAACTATCATTTTAGTTCATGAGCTATGTTATATGTTTTTAAACTTAAACTTACATCGATAAGTTTTAAAGTTAAAAACACAAATTGATTAAACTCAGATATTCTCTTGTCATATTCTGAACATCTTATATTCATTGGTGTATTAGTAAATTTTTAAATGCAGCACACATAACAAATAAAGATCAAGAATGAGAAAATGATACTGTTCAATTTTCAATATTTGGCAGCTTTTTATTTAAAAGATTTTTGCCATTTTTGTCATTCTAATTAATTATTTTATATCTATGACTTAGAATATTTTAGAAAATTTGTTTTCAGCAAATGATAAATGTTATTTTATTGTCATTTGCCTAGATATTAAATTTGAATGCAAAAGATTTAACTAAGTGCTTTTCAATATGGTATCAAAGTTTATTAATTTCTATGATTTTAATTAAGAATCAAGTTTTAACAACTTTTTCATTTGCAGACTTTTATTAATTTTAACAAGTGAAAAATTAAATATACAAATTAAAAAGTACAATTCCCTTTTTATTTTCTTTTATTGTAGGTCTTGTTTGAAGATGTTGGTGTCAGTGTACATTTTACTACTTGTCTTCCATTCCTGTTTGTGTACTGACATCATCTACAATGTAGAAGAAGAACAGAGTCCAGGCACATTCATTGGCAATATTGCCAAAGACTCAAATGTCATGGATAATATTCCTCTGAAAGATCATAAACATATCACCTTCACACAACACAAAAAAGGAAGCACTCAGTTATTCCGTGTTGCAAAGAATACAGGAAAACTATACACTGCACAAATATTGGATGCTGAATCTTTATGTACTTATAATGTAGAATGTTTCAAAATGATTGATGTTGCTGTCAGGAAAGCAAAGTCTTTTATAAAACTTTTAGAAATCAAAATGATTATAAAAGATGTTAATGATCACCAGCCAGAATTTCCAGACAAGCAAGTTAGTATTAAATTTTCAGAAGGTGATGGAATAGGAATGAAAAAATATATCCCAAGTGCAATAGATGAAGATATCAGTATTTTTTTTTCTCAAATTACCTACCAACTAAAAGAAGAAGAAAAAGATCCCTTCACATTATCTATTTCTAAAACTTTTGCTGGAACATCAGACTTAATTATAATACTGAAAGAAAGACTTGACAGAGAAATGCAAGACTCTTATATACTTCAAGTGGTTGCTACAGATGGAGGTTCTCCACCCAAACAAAGTATATTAGATGTCTATATTGCTGTCACAGATATCAATGACAATGTTCCTCTATTTTCACAGAGTATTTATAATATCTCTATAAAGAATGAAGTTGATGAAAATAGTCCTATAGTAATTTTATCAGCTACAGACTTAGATGCTGGAAAAAATGGAAATGTTTCATATTATTTCAACAAAAAAACACCAACTATTGAAAAACGTCATTTCAAACTTAATCACATGACAGGAGAAATATTTTTACAAAATAAAATACCAACAGGTGATAAGTCAATTTATAATTTGTATGTTGAAGCTGCAGATGCTGGCACTCCTTCATTGAGTTCACTGGCTATGGTGCAAGTAAATGTAATCAATCAACAAAATAATGCTCCAACAATAGATGTGAACTTTTTTTCAGCATCATCTACAGAAAATTCTACAGCCATTTCTGAAGACATTGAGGTCGGCAGTTTTATTGCCTATGTGAAAGTAACTGATCATGATACTGGCCAGAATGGAGAGGTTATATGTGATCTCCATCATGATAAGTTTAAATTGAAAAGTCAAGGCTTGAAAAAATATCAAGTGATTTTGAAAGATCCATTAGATAGAGAGACTGAGGAACATCATGACATCACAATAAGCTGTGAGGATATGGGATTCCCACCAAGACATAGTGAGAGTAAGTTTTCCATTAAAGTGATGGATGTCAATGATGTAAAGCCAAAATTTTCTAAATCCAGATACAAATTCCATATCAGTGAGAACCAGAAACCTCATATTGATGTGGGTTCAATCAATGCATCTGATCCAGACTTGGGACCTGGAGGGGAATTGATCTTTTCTCTTGCAACAAATAAGAAGAAGAATCATCTGCCTTTTCTAATCACCAAAGATGGTTTTATTTCAACAAGTGAATCATTGGACCATGAATTACAAGATGTTTATAAATTTGAGGTTTTGGTGAAAGATAATGGAATCCCATCACTGAATAATACAGTGGATGTGATTGTGGAGATTGAAGATGAAAATGATAACAGTCCATATTTTACATTTCCCAATGTTAATCCATATAATATAGAAGTTGTATATTTTGTTGATGAAAGCAAGAACCTGACAGTTGTGAGGGCACATGATAGTGATAGTCAAGAGAATGCCTTTCTCAGATATGAAATAAGTGCAGGCAATGAGAAACAGTTGTTCACCATTGACCATTACAGTGGTTTGTTGTCTTCTACTGGTGCCCTTACAAAACAAGATGCTGGCTCATATGAACTGGAGTTTGTTGTCAAGGATAGTGGCATCCCAGTTTTATCAGCCACAACTACAATCTTTTTTTAAGACTGATTGTGAAAAATAAGACTTCTTCTTTGGAAAGAGTAAATGGTGTGCAGAGAAGTCAATCAGAGGAGAAGGTGCATCTTAATATGGTGATTATTATTACATTAGCAGCCGTCATGGTGACTATCATCATTACGGCTTCAATCTCAATCTGTGTGCTTCGCTGTTGTAATGCTTCAAGTGGAGATGGAGATGATGTTCCTAATAGATATGTTAGTGAACAAAGACATTTGATGTCGTCATCTTATCGAGGGAGCTCTTGGCCAGATGTTCCTACTACTATGATAAATGATCCAAACTTTGGTAGAAGTGCTGAGGAAATGGCAGCTAGCAGAAGGGAATCATATCCCAGGTTCATGAACCAAACAACAGCAATAAGACCACAATCTTCTGTTGATATTAACTGTCAAGTAAGAAATTTCTTTGATTTACATTAATTTAAATATTTAATCAATAATAAAATAATTCTGATTCTCAGATTTTCATAGAACTTCAGTTATGTTTTTAATAATAATTTGCCTCTATTAACAAAATTTATTTATTTTGTCAGGAATATCACTTGCTTGTCAATGATGATGAATTTGTAGATTTATGAATTAATTTATCTGTTTGATGCTGCATTACTTGTCTAAATAAAACCAGTATGAATATGTTATATTATCTTTCATAAGAGACCTGTTGACCATTGCCACCTAGGGTTTATTTGCATTGTCTACTCTCTGCCATAAATTGATAACCTATATAAAAAAAATAAGGTGAAAATAAAATAAAAATTAGTAATAATGGCTGATAATGCTTCATCTATAAAAATAAAATAAAGGTAACATGATAGCTAGTACAAACAAAAACAATATGGTACTGTGAACGATCATGGAATGAATAGTAGATTTATAGGTTAGATGTGATCTTCTGCAAGGCTGTTTTCTTGCAGCTTGATCATTTAAAATAGTCAATACATTCAACAAAGCTTCTCAGAGGCAAAAGAGAAAAGAGTTTGAATATAACTTAGATCTTTAATTTTACTGACGTCTTAAATATTTCATGTTTGTCATTTGTCCTAAAAATATTTATTTGCTAATATTAAGATAGTCTTTCAAGAATCTTTTTAAATAATGTCACTGCTTCCTTTATATTTGAGCTTGATTAATAAGATGAAGGAATACTTCAAAACCTAGTTGTCATGTCATTGATTCAATGCATTGACCATTTTTGTCAGTGGTTGATATGATAAAAAAAGGATTTTTTTAGAAATGACACCTTATTTTTTTTTTTATAAATAATTCAAGTATTAATTATTTTTAAAATATTTATTATTATTTTTTGATTTGAATTTTTTATTTTTTTTTAATCACAACTTTTTGCAAGCTGTTGATCTATGGCAATAAGTAAGCATTGTGGAACAGAAGTAAATGGTAGGCTTTTGGAAAGACTTGTCCCCTTTGACTCAGGGAATCTTGATTAAATAAACTTAGATATAAGTATCAAATCTTAAACACATCACTATTTCATAGTCCCTTTTGTCACCATATTTTTTTTGGTTTTTACACTAGTCGTACTAGTAGCAATAATATTATCTTTTCATTTTTTCTTAGATGAATTATTATCAACCATTATTACTAATTTTGACTTCTATTTGCTTTTAATCTTAATCTTTGTTTAGTTCCTTTTTAATCACAACTTTACTTGATTTTATTCGATACTGTTATTTAATATTGTAACTTATTTCCAATGTTCTCACTGCCATAGAAAAACGACCTGAAAAATGTGGTGAAAAAAAGCAACTAAAAACATCAAAATGAAGATAGTCCTGACTCACTTTAATTCTTCAAGATTTGATTAATATTTTTAACATCTCCCCATGAAGATTCCCCATAAATTTTCTATTGGAATTGCATCTGGGATATTTGAAAACCAATCAAGAATAGTTATCCCTTTCTCCAAAAAACATTCTTTTATAGGTTTTGCTCCATAGGGTGGAGTAAGGACATACTGGAAAATAAATTTCTTGTCTCCAAACTTGACCAAAACCCCAATTTTGATAGTCACCAGCCCAGATTAAACACTTGTGTTTCTGCTAAAATTTAGTCGTGGCTTCAAAATTGATATTCTTCTGAAGTGATGGACTCTCAGGAATGTTGTGGATTGAGAAATAGCTATACCAGCATCATTCCAGCCTCTGAAAATTTTACCAAAATTTTTAAATAAATAAGAATCCTATTTCACTGATGTCCATCTCTAACTATTGTCTTGACTTTGGAACTGCAGTTGAACCAGTCTGCCTTGTTATTTTTCAAAGCAGCCGATTGAGAGTATCCCATCTTGCCAGTTTTTGCAACATGTGAATGACAGCTTTTTGTGCCTCTGATATTTTCTTTAACTCTTGCTATTTATGATACTTGGTGACAATATGTTGAACACTGAAGATTCCACTCTTTTTATATTAATACTTTGACACTGAGAAAACTTATGTGTACATTATTAAATATCAATTTTCAGAGAGGAAATACCAAATTATTTACATATATTGAATTGATGTATTATTAAGAGTAAACTATCTAATTGTAAACAAATTTGAGCAGGAAATTGAATTTCTCATTTTTCTAAATCACTGTTGTATATGCCAATTTCATACACAGCAGGAACAGATATAAATTTTCTTCTTCTTTTATTACAACAACAGAAACTATTTCTTTTTTAGGGAAACACTAACATATTTGAATATTAGTAATCTTAATGATTAACAATTTTAAGAAAGTGTTAAAATACTGTAATTTTATTCTAAGTATTTTATTTCAACTATCTTTGATTATAAAATTTGTTTATTGCACAGTGAATGTAAAAATATATTTCAGGTTTTGTATTAACAGAGTGCTATTAAAGTAAGTTGTAGTAAAATAAAGTCAGTGATGCAAAAAAAAAACCCTTCCTTCTGAATGACCAAAGGCACAAAAAAGTTATTAAGACAAATCTATAGGAAATTCATTAAAAATGCCATCACAATTAATGTTCTTGTGTTTTGTAGATGATTTAATAAAATTTTAAGAAAAATAAACATGGTTTTGTATTGTAATTCAGATGACACCTGAATTCCAGAATGGGAATAAGAACACATTGATGATTCCTTACTGCCCAACATGGAGATCTACACTGTCTTCCCATGCTGACAGTGGACATGGTTGGAGTGAAGGAGACACAGGACATGCAGAAGAGATGACAGGTAAGAAAGATATAAATAAAAACAACAAAATGAATACTTGTTATGAAAAAGCCCATACATACTGAAATATTATTGACATTGTTAATTTGTTTTTGTTTTTTTCAGATCAGCTGATTCCACAGTTCTGCAAGCCACAGAGGGAACAGTTCAACAGAATGGATAAGAGGCATATAGAAGGGAAATTTAGCTACCCAAATGAATCAACAACACTTTCAGCAAGATGTTTTCCGAAAACAACAAATAATCCCAACAATTTGCTGAAAGAGAAAATAGAACAAAAATCCCATCATTTATCAGACAGCATTCAAATTACTCACAATGCCAGACCACTGCCTCCTGTACCTCACAAAATACACTAATCATACACTTTACATCAATCTATTACAAATACATTCAGTACATGTACACACTAATTTTATAACATAAATTTATTCATAAATAACATATAACACCCCTTCAAATCTAACTCTGGTAAAATCAATGATATTATGGAATATTTTGAAATGCATTTTGATCATTTATGTTACATAATATTTAAAATTGGTGGGATTTGCTGTTCGTAGTCACAGTAATGTATATAAAAATTTATAATAATCCTTAGGCATTCACAATACCAGTTTTTAAAAATAATGAAGCAAATGAAATTTTAAGTTTAAAAAGCTAAAAATATTGTCTAATCATGTTTTCTACTTGATGTAAACCTATCTTTTGTAATAGAGAGACATTAATTCCAAAGTTAGGAAATCAAAATATAGTTGCAATTTACTAAAAATCTGATAATTTTATGATACTAATAATAATAATAATAAAATACAAACAAAATTTTTAAAAAATTGAAAATACTTATAAAAAATAACTTAGTGATTTTAATATAAAGTTTCAAAAATTTCTGTAAAGAACAACTTTTTGAATAAATTGATGAAAATACTTGTAAACATTAAAAACTTAATTATAGATATAATAAATTATAATGTTATAATATAATTTAAATAATAATGTTAATTTTTTATTACTGATCTGAAAGACTGGATTTGCTTTTTAAAAATAATTTGCAAAAAAATTTAAAATTATAGAATTAGGAAAATTATAGAAAGGAGATATTTATATTTTCTTTCTATTTTTTGACAAGGTTGACAGTATTTAAATAAAAACATTGCATTAACTCATCATGATGGAAGGATAGAAGAAAAAAACTTAAAAATGGAGGAATATAGAAACTTCATGTATTGCATTATGGGAAAAAAGAACCAGTGAGATCATTTATTTTATAAAATTACCAAGCACAGTATTATCATGACATAAAAAAATCAAAATATTATAATTTTAAAAAATATAAATGTTTTTAATTATTTTCATGCTTTAAAAAAATTCTCATCAGTGTGAGAAGTCGCCATTACACATACTTCATGCTTATTAGAACTATTGGCTACATATGCACTTACAAACACTTACAAGCAATGCACATGCACACACAGACATATACATACACAGGAGATCAGACTCTTTGTTCAGTCATTGTGATATGAATGTTAGTGGAAGATTCCATCAGAAGAGGAGGATATGAACTGGTTTGGATTCTTTTATCTGTGAGGATTACAAGATATAAAGTAAGTGGCTCAAAATTATTAATTTGATGTACACAAGCTGTTATCTAGAAGGAATTTAATTTTTAAAAGATGTTAACCATTCACTCATCACTTTACAGGGACATTAGCAAATTGATATTTTGTGCAAGAATTTAATAGTCATGATATAAAAGTTGATGTTAATATTGTATTTATAAAAAAATAAAATTTGTAATACTTAGAGCTAAAACAAGATTAAGTTACTACTGATGGGATGTTATTTTTAATGAGGAAATTTGGTATCTATAATGAATTTTATAATATGTTTCAATTAGTACATTTATGGGCAGGAAAATGTGTGTGTGGAAGGTAGGCATGTTAAAGACTTGATAAACATTGCCTGAGTATAACATTACTTAAATTAATTTGAAGTAAAAATTTATGTCATAATCATTTGCTCTATTATTTTTATACTTTGTGTACATACAGAAGAAAGCTAAAAATAATGCTGAAGTATTTCTATTAAAAGATATTTTCCAACAGGAAATGTCTATTTTACTATGATCAATCAAAAGATGGATATTATTGTGTCTGTCATGTGTATGTTCATATCCATCCACATATATAGGTGGACGCTTGTAATCAAGCATCTCTGTCTACTAGGGTGGCTAGCCAATCCCTATTGCAGATGCTTGCTCAGGCACATTTGTGTTTATTCAACACCCACAGAGCCCACCTGTGGTTAATACAGCAACTATGCTGAGCAGACTTTGGTTACAATTTCTGGGAAAGAGCATGTTATCTAGTGTGATCAACAATTTGAACAAGGCCAGCACGCTCAAACCCTCGGCCATGGTGACTTGTGACTTTGTGCTAGCACAGCTATCGACAGCACCCAAGGGTTCCAACTACCCAATTTCACTCACAAGGCTTGGGCCAACTCGTGGTATGGTTTTCAGGCACTTTCCAAAGGTGCTGCATGCTGGGATCGTCCCCACTTCAGTCTGATAACATCAGGAAGTCTCCTTCCAGACAAATCGACCATGGTGAGATTCAAACCTTAGTCTTATGGTTAGAATGCAAATGTTCTAACCACTTGGCCACATGCCCATATCCACATGAATGATTACATAAAACACTTATACATCTTTAAAAATAATTTTTTGAATATGAAAGTTAATCTGAATCTATAATTTCATTCATGTAAAAGTCTAAGACAGTAAAATTATAAATAAAGACATTCTTAAGCAAATCTGTAAGTCAATGTTCATTGTTATATTATTTTTATGAACTGAAATTTGTTAAATGTGTGATTTTCAAAATCCATGTAGATTTTGAAAATCTGTATTTGTGAAAAAAACAATCCTACTTTTACTGCTGTACACACACACACAGAATTTTGTTTTTTTTTTTACATTTTTTTTAAAATATTACATTAATAAACAATAATGATTTTTTATTATAATATAGTTTATTAACTGTGTTCCATTTTGGGGATGGTAGGCATTAATGTGTTTTTAATAGGAACATATAATAATGGATTTTTATAAAGTTATAATTAATATTGAATGTTTTATAAACCTGTAATCAATACTGGAATTTTTAGAAAGCTATAATTATGTCGCAGAATATTAATTACTACATTTTTTATGGTTTAAAATAAATTCAAAATAATTTTATTGATTGAAAAACTGTTTATTTTGATTCCATTTCTAGAAAGTAAGGCTTTGTTAAAAAAATAATCTTTAGTATAATGTTGACAAAATATTTAAATTTAACATTGAAGATTGGCATTTTTTATTTACAAGGTGAACATTCTGGCTTCATAAAATATACTTTAAACAAACGGTATAATTTTACCAAACTATCCTGAAGAAAATATTATGGAATAATGCAATAACGTGTAAAAAAAATTATGGAATGATCTTGTAACTTGTATTGTTAAAAAATATCATCAGAAACCTAGATATACAAATCAGTCTACAGTTAAAAGAGAGTTCTTACAGACCTCTCACAAGTGATTGGGCATATCTAATTGAAAAGAAATGCCTATAACAAAAGGACTGTATTGAAACAGCAGAAAGGATCATAAAACCCATGAGCATGGAAAAAGACATTTGTTGTTCCCAGGCAGCTGTGTCTAAAATTTGGTACAAATATAAAAGAAATAGGTTGGTTAAAAAAAAGGAAAATATACTGGTAGACCACAAAATCATTAAAGCAGCAGGATAGAAAACTCAAAGCAATATGCCTTAATTGAGTAATTTGTTTTTTATGGCTTATCAACCCTTGGTGAGTTATTTAATTTGGAACCATATTTTAGATTTTGAGAATAATATATTTGTTTTTGTAAGTTAATACTGCGTTAAATTTTTTTTTTTAAATAACAATAATGTTTCTACACTATTTAACTATATTTCCTACTATTTAACCCATAGCTGGGGGAAGAAATGATGGGTTGATGCCTTTCCCAAGGGTATTTGCGCATAAGTGAATGTAACAAGCTTGGAATTCAAACTTGGTTTCTGAGCCACTACTCCACCTAAACATTCTGTTTTTCACCCAAGAGTCGGGGATTACTGAATGAGGTTGTTGTAAGAGCATAAGAGGAGGAAATAAGAAGTGCATGTTATGATGATATGTACTGCGAAATTGAGGCAAAATAAAAAAAAGGCCATGAGAAGGCTCCATCCACTAAAGAATATTTATTAACTTTAAGGAAATTTGGTAACACTTTGATAAAGAATATTTTGCTTCAAATTAGTGACATCCATGCCTGAAAGTATTAAGATTGTCATAAAAGCTCTAGGATGGGCAAATAAGTATTAATTCTAATTTTTTGTTCAGAAAGTCTTTAATTTTTTCCTCAATATTTGATTATTCTATAATATTTTCCTCTGCATGGTCTGGAAGAAAGTTATACAGCTAATTTAAATAATTTAATTTCGTTTATTTAAGTTATATTTTCTGAAGCAAAAAAAAAAAAGAAGCTATTCTGAAGTTATACTTCACTTACATTCATTTACATGTTTTTTGTATCTTGTTTCTTATTTTCTGATATTTTTCACACACTGCTTATAGTTTTATGCTTTGGAAAAAAATACACATTTTTAGGCTTTCTTTATAACAGTTAAACTACTTAAAAATCATACCTGTTAATCTGATTGGCTGTTGTCCTATAGTGATGTTGGACTTAGGGGATAAAATGAACAGTTAATTTACCCACAACAAATAGATTAATGAAGGATGATAATGGCAAGGAAACACACTGATAATTTAAAAAAAGACAGATAAATTTACATGCTTGAGTGTCAGTAGATTGTTTTAGGAAAATAAATCAGAATTCTCAAAGTTGGTAGTTTTAACGTATTGTCATAAACAGGAAATGTTCATACAAAAGATTAAATGATCTGAGACAAAATAATATGCAAAAATGTTTTAGACAAAAGTAAGAGAGCTCATTACTCACTAAAGGGATATATGGTTTGCATACTTTCAAAAGTAGACAAAAAGAGATAGTTTGAAATACTTAGCATTCAAGGGTTGTTGGAAAATTCTTAAAAGTGCTGCATGCTGGTTAGAGGCTGATGATATAATATTACATTGGCAAGAATTTCAATGTTGGTTTCGAATAACTGAAACAAAACCTTTCACATGACTTCAGATACTCTTATCTGATTAATTTAATTTTTATCCTCATTTTATATCAAAAGAATTTCACAGGCTCGCTACTTTCTTTTCTTCTTCTTCTCAGCTGACCAGTTAATTACTATGAAGGCGAGGTTTTCATTGGGCCAAAGAAAATTTCACATAGGCTTGTGAATTCCTTTCCTTCTTCCTTAGCCCAAGAATTTGAATGGAGTGAATGAAGGGATTTATCATTATTTTGCACTCACTACAGTGTTTCTGGTTCCTATTTTCATACAGGCTGATGTATAAAAAATGTAAGCAGATATAAAAGATTCCTGAAAAGATTGAAAAAAATGTGAACAAAATATAGGTCTAGAAGAAAATAATTTTATAAATTATAATTTTTATTATAATTTCTAATTTCTTAGATGGTAACAATTTGAAAATGATATTTTATTAATATGCTTTTATTATTCATACATGTGTTACTCTACATTTGGTAGAGATTTTGATATATTTATATTGATTCTTAAGGATTGTCTCATGACTACACACACTGGTCTAAAATATCTCTTGGTTTTGTTATTTTCAGATTTATATGAAAATAATGATTTTAGTTTATATAATACTGCATCTTATCCAGACATGCTTCTGTACCAACCTAATCTACAATGTGGAAGAAGAACGAAGTCCAGGTACATACATTGGCAATATTGCCATTGACTCAAATGTTATGGACACTATTCCTCTGCAAGATCATAAACACATCACCTTTACACAACTCAAAAAAGGAAGCTCTCAACTGTTCCGTGTTGCAAAGAATACAGGGAAACTGTACACTGCACAAATATTGGATGCTGAATCTTTATGTACTTATAATGCAGAATGTTTCAAAATGATTGATGTTGCTGTAAGAAACTCCAAATCATTTATCAAATTATTAGAAATTAAAGTGATTATAAAAGATGTGAATGATTATCAACCTGAGTTTCCTGATAGAAATATTAATATAGAGTTTAGTGAAGATGTTGGAATAGGAATGAAAAAATCAATTCCTGGTGCCAGAGACAAAGATCTCAGTAGCATTCATTCCCAAATTACTTATGAGCTGCAAAAAGAAAAGGAAGATCCTTTTAAACTGACTGTATCAAAAACCCTTGTTGGAAAATCAGATCTGGGTATTGTTTTAAAAGAACAATTAGACAGAGAAACGAAAGATTCTTACTTAATTCAAGTCATAGCAAAAGATGGAGGCTCTCCCCCAAAAGAGAGTATTTTAAATGTGCATATTTCTGTCATTGATGTCAATGACAATCCACCAGTGTTCTCTAAAGATTTGTATAATGTTTCTATCAAAAATGAACATGACAAAACCATTTCAGTGATTACTTTATCTGCTATAGATTTAGATGCAGGACAAAATGGAAATATTTCCTATCATTTTGATCCCAAAACAACAGATTTTGCTAAAAACAGTTTTGCATTAAATGAAGTAACAGGAGAAGTTTTTCTACTCAGAAATATACCACCTGGACAAAATTTAATCCATAATTTATACATTGAAGCAAAAGATGGAGGAAATCCTTCTTTAAGTTCTTTTGCTATGGTTCAAGTAAATGTGATCAACCAACAAAATAATGCTCCAACAATTGATGTAAACTTTTTATCAGCATCATCTACAGAAAATTCTACAGCCATTTCTGAAGACATTGAGGTAGGCAGTTTTATTGCCTATGTGAAAGTAACTGATCATGATACTGGCCAGAATGGAGAGGTTATATGTGATCTCCATCATGATAAGTTTAAATTGAAAAGTCAAGGCTTGAAAAAATACCAAGTGATTTTGAAAGATCCATTGGATAGAGAGACTGAGGAACATCATGACATCACAATCAGTTGTGAGGATATGGGATTCCCACCAAGACATAGTGAGAGTAAGTTTTCCATTAAAGTGATGGATGTCAATGATGTAAAGCCAAAATTTTCTAAATCCAGATATAAATTCCATATCAATGAGAACCAGAAACCTCATATTGATGTGGGTTCAATCAATGCATCTGATCCAGACTTGGGACCTGGAGGGGAACTGATCTTTTCTCTTGCAACAAATAAGAAGAAAAATCATCTGCCTTTTCTAATCACAAAAGATGGTTTTATTTCAACAAGTGAATCATTGGACCATGAATTACAAGATATTTATAAATTTGAGGTTTTGGTGAAAGATAATGGAATCCCATCACTGAATAATACAGTGGATGTGATTGTGGAGATTGAAGATGAAAATGATAACAGTCCATATTTTACATTTCCCAGTATTAATCCACATAATATAGAAGTTGTATATTTTGCTGATGAAAGCAAGAACCTGACAGTTGTGAGGGCATATGATAGTGATAGTCAAGAGAATGCCTTTCTCAGATATGAAATAAGTGCAGGCAATGAGAAACAGTTGTTCACCATTGACCATTACAGTGGTTTGTTGTCTTCTACTGGTGCCCTTACAAAACAAGATGCTGAATCATATGAACTGGAGTTTGTTGTCAAGGATAGTGGCATCCCAGTTTTATCAGCCACAACTACAATCTTTTTGAGGCTGATTGTGAAAAATAAGACTTCTTCTTTGGAAAGAGTAAATGGTGTGCAGAGAAGTCAATCAGAGGAGAAAGTGCATCTTAATATGGTGATTATTATTACATTAGCAGCTGTCATGGTGACTATCATCATTACGGCTTCAATCTCAATCTGTGTACTTCGCTGTTGTAATGCTTCAAGTGGAGATGGAGATGATGTTCCTAATAGATATGTTAGTGAACAAAGACATTTGATGTCATCTTCTTATCGAGGGAGCTCTTGGCCAGATGTTCCTACTACTATGATAAATGATCCAAACTTTGGAAGACATGCTGAAGAGATGGCAGCTAGCAGAAGGGAATCATATCCAAGGTTTATTAACCAATCAACAGCAATAAGACCAAACTCAACTGTTGATATCAATTGTCAGGTAAGCAGAGAAATATTTCATATGATTTGACTTCTTTAGAATAAACTGTTTTCACTTTAGACATTTTTTTTTGTAGAACTATCATTTTTGTTGTTTCTGAAAAAAATAATTAACTTTTAAAATTATCTTTCACAATTAACATGCAATTATTGACAATCATGTGTTTTTGCAATAATCATGTCATTGTATTTTTTTATTAGTAATATTCAAAATCTGTCACTAAAATATATATATATAATTTATATTTCATCTCCAATGCTCTTTGTTACACGTTTAAAACTATACAAATATTTCATAATTAAGTAAAAGCAAACATATGCCTCAAAACCTTTTTCAGATTATTATAGGCCTTTTAGTTTTACGTAATATCAGATGGATTTTAGTTCAAATCTGAGTTAAATGAAATGAAAATAGTTCTTGTCAAAATCATATCAAAATACAAATCCTAATCTATCCATTTTCTATTTCCTACGTTTATTGCTTTATTTGGTTGATTTCTACTTTAACTTAATGATCTTTAATATTTACAATGCTATGAATTAAAAGATTAAATTAGATAAATCTTTCTGTAAAATGTGTAGAAATTTTAGTAAGTGTTTATTTTAATTCATTTCATAACATGTACATTGACATATTATCTTAAATTATACATGCTTGTTTTTTAAATTTTATTAAGGGTACCATTTTTCTAACTGTTACAATATTATTAATGTTTTAAATTTAACTTGACACATAAATGTTTTCTTCTTTTTATTGCTTTTTAGATCTGTTTTCTGTAGAGTACTAATTTTGTATTGGAACAAAAGTTCATAGCATTTTTCAATAGGTAACATTTGAACATGAAATTTTGCTTCTCATATGATTGAAATTTATGACATATACACATATTCTTAAAGATCACATTTGCTATATAATTTCTGTGTGGATTTTAATGTTTTTTATGTTAAAAGTAAGAATGGAGGAAAATTAGATTCTTTTTTTTTGTTATTTGAAAGGAAAAAAAACATTGCAAAAAAATCCAAAAAAGACATATACCATTTATGGTGTAGGAATTTCTGTTGTCAAGGTTTTTTATATTAAAAATCTGAATGTCATAATGCTATCAACTTTTGTTCCAATACAAACAATAATAAGATAAAAATAAAGAAAACATGGGCATGCCTGTTATTAGTTAAATAAATTTCTATTTGCAAACATATGTACATGAATTCAAAGCTATCGTTGAGAAAAACTTTAATTGTCAGCAAAGATTCACTGACTGTCCAAGCTGCTGCTGTTGGAGAGGATTCATTTGAAGTTGCTGACATGTTTCTTTCAGCATGCACTGGACGAAGGTGGGGGCTATGTAGCCACATCTTCTCTTGTGTTTTAATAGCTTGGAGACAGTCATAACTCTGCTGCTGAAAATCAAAATCTCTGAGGTTTTGCAAGAAATTTTTCCTGTAAGTAGACTTGAGAAAAATAGAGTTTTAGTTTTCTCTGATTGGTCAAATATTTCAGATGGTGATGTTAATTTTTAACCAACAGATGCTTTGTTTTAAACGGTATGTGTTGTATTGTGGAATATTTTGGTGTGTTTGTAAGTATTGTCTGTTATTGGGCATAAATAGGGTTTATTTCTTATAATGGTGATAACACCATAGCTGAAAGTACATTTCAAAAGTGGGAGTTTTCATCTAGAAAACTGAGAATATTCTGGCATATATTTAAAGAGCCATATTTCCATTTGTGATTCTCTGCTCAAATATAATAAAATTACACATTTTTGAAAATAACAACCACAGACAAGGAAAATGGATTATTTACAACAATGTAAAGTGAAAAAGGTCCTGGGAAAAACAAAATGAGATCCAACCACTGTGAAAAAAACTTTTCATTTATGAATTTCATTTGGTACAAAATAATATCAATGAAGGTGAATGTTAAATTAATGCATTAGATAAAGTAATGACAAATATATATCAGATTGAATAAGTGGGTTTGATTTATTGTTGATTATTTAAAATGATTATGTGTTCTAATGCAGATGACATCAGGACTTCAGAATGGGGGTAAGAATACATTGATGGCTCCCAATTGTCCAACATGGAGATCTACATTGTCTTCTCATGCTGATAGTGGACATGGTTGGAGTGAAGGAGACACAGGACATGCAGAAGAGATGACAGGTAAAAGAGCTGAAAGACGTTTGATACTTACTACTAAAAGCCCATTTTCTATTTTTGTTTATAATATAGACAATACACCAATATTTAAATGTCATTAAAAGATGCTGACTTGTTATTTCAGATCAGCTGATTCCACAATTCTGCAGGCCACAAATTGGACAGGTCAACAAAATGGATAAGAGACACATAGAAGGAAACTTTACCTACCCAAATGAATCAACAACAATTTCAGCAAGATGTTTTTCAAAAGCAACAAATAATCCCAACAATCTATTTAGAATGGAAACAGAACAAAAATCTCATCATTTATCAGATAGCATTCAAATTACTCACAATACCAGACCACTGCCTCCTGTACCTCACAAAATCCACTAATTTCTAACAACTGTAAATGTTTTGTATGGCATAATTTAAAAACTTATATTGAACAAGTTTATGACATCTTTATATACTATAACATGAAATCAAAATAAGAAGAAATTGATAAAGTATTTTCAGAAAATTACATTTAGAGTTACCTTTATTCCTATATTAATTTCTTGAAGTCTAAATTTTTTTTTACTTTATTAATGCATCATTATACAAAGTTTTACAACTTCATTGTTTGTATAAACAAATACATAAAACTATTAAGCATTTGTTCATATGAATTATTTTTTTGCTTTACTTATATCGGTAAAATACTGAAAAGTAATTGATTAGGGATAACTTTATTAACAATTAAGAATTATATATTGTACAAATTGAGAAAATACTTCATAATTTTTTAAAGGCTTTTATAATCACTTAAAATATTGAAAAGTACCTTAGAAATGAATTCAAACAACAGAAAAATATTTGCTTCAGAAAACAATACGCAATTAGTAATCTACAAATTTTTCATTCATTTTGGAAATTCATTCTTTAGTTTTTACTTAAAAATTTAATTCCCATTAATATCTATGTAAATAGAAAAGTACTCATACTTTCTTTAATATCTACATCAAAGCAGATAAAACTCATCATAGATAAAATGAAAAAATTAGCAAGTAACAGAGGAATAACTATCTGCTTTGCATTCTGAGAGAAAAATGAAAGAAAGCATTTCTTTTTGTGAAAAAACAAAATAGGATTAAAATGCAGATACACTTCTCTTTTCTACATAAAACAAGTGTACATGTATCAAATTTCTTGCCATCTCTCTTTGGAAGATCTTGTCAGAGAAAAGAAGCAGTAATTAAACACATACTAAACATCTTAGGATTCTGGCATACACACATCAGTACATGCATCAATACACATACAAAATGGCATTCTCTTCATTCTGCCAGTGTTGTTCAAAGGTCAGCAAAAGAAGAGGATATAAATTGCTGTAATTTTTTTGTGTGACAACATCATAGAAATTAAGGTAAGTTGTTTTTTTGTTTTTAAATTTGAAAAAAAAAATTCACTGACATTCATGTTTAAAGATTTCTTCTTTCCCATCATATAAAATCTGGAGAAAAATAATGAAAAGTTGTTTGAGAATGGAGTTCATTGCTGATTATATCTAATATCCTGCTTACATACATACATATTCTTACATACATAAACATTTAATAAACTTTTCAATTACTTGGTCATCATTAATCCACTATTCTGTTAATATTTTACTGACATATATCAATCTGTTATTATTTCATATTTCACAATAGTTGCTATTATTATTAGTTCTATTAATGGACTATTATTTTATCAGATATAAATTTATGAATTATAGTTATTTCTATCACTTCAGGTTTCAGTCATTCACTAATTGTCTGATACTCATGAAATCTTTACTGATTCTAATGATAATTTATTTATAAAAAAAAATCAAAGAAATAATCATTTAAATGTATATTTTTCATAGAAATACCTAAAATTCTTTCTCCCTCTCTCTCTTTATATATATATATATATATAAAAGTAAACATTGAAGTCAACACTCAGAGGCGACAGGCTGTTTCATGCTAGTCGCAATCATCAGGTTGCCTGACGATTACATCTAACATGAAACAGCCTGTCACCTCTCAGAGTTAATTTCAATGTTCACTTTTATATTTATATATGCTCTATCTCTGATATTGAGCACTTTATGCCATAAATATAGCACACCATAAAACTATATTTCTTCATCTATAAATATATATATATATATATATATATATATTGTTTAAAATTGTTATATTTATGAGGAAAGAGTGCTCAGTATGCACTGTTTATGAGGAAAGAGATAGCGTATTTGTAGATACAAAAAGTATGAATATTCTATGTCAACACTGAATAGTGACCATCCATTTTATGTCTCAAGCAATCTTCAAACAATATCTCTCTTTTTAATGTGTGACTATATGCACACAATTCTGTGATGGATGAAGAGCTTAAAGACATGAAACAAACATGCATGTCTTATACAAAAGGAGTCATTTATTATAATCATAGATAATGTTATCAAATTGTTACTGTTATCAAAATTAGTAACATTCAAAGACATTTTAAAATCAGTTAAAAATTATGATTCCAAGTCAATAAACTTCATATTAATGTTTTATAATGTCAATTTGTTCATAATAATGGATTTAATGACATAATGAATTTACAAAAATGTGATTGTTACATTATTGCTTAATGTCATCAGCTGGTTATTGTTATCTAAAATACTCTATCCCAAATTAATCATAAGCTACTTCCTCTGAATAAGGATTAACAGAAAGTGATGAAAATTAAACAGTATATTTATTTATATTTGTCTACTCATTGTTGAGAAAATCAAGAAATCTTATAAAAGAAAAATATGCAGGTGGATGCAGGTTTGAATTCTGCCAGAGTGCATATTTTTCTCTAATAAGACTTCTGCTGTTTAATAAATACAGCATCTACTCAAATATGTATATTCACTAAAAATAATGTTTAAGTAATAAAATCTGTCTGATTAATAAATAAAAATCCATCACTTCTTTAGTAATATGTGTATCTTGAGAGCTTGGGGAAGAAAGTTTTGCATTTAAAGGCACTATTCAACTTTGCTTGACTTTCGATGCACTGTCAGGAAGGCAGTAGATAATGATTGACATTGTATTTAAATTTTTGAAGAACAAAGTTGGCCGGGAAGCATAGAGCCAGAAGAAAGTTCCACTTGTGAGATGTGTGAGAAAAAAACTGTCAGCATAGAACTTATGGTTACATCTAGTCAATTTAACTGTAAATTGATGAGACCTTGTTGCCAATCTAGTACTGTGCTTAAATTCATAAAGTCTATATACCATAGCAGAGAGTTCATATGAACAATTACCATGAGGTCATTTACTGTAGATGTTTTGAAGAACTGAGAAACTAGAAAATACTTAACCTCATGTGTGTGTGTGTGTGTGTGTGTGTGTGTGTGTGTATATATATATATATATATATATATTCATTTGTAGGGATATGAGTTTGTGACCTTGAGTTTCATGCTTTTGTGATCATTAGACAAACTATGAGCACTTTCCACTAAGTACTGCACATACAAAATTATATATGAATGTATCTATGTGTGTGTATAATCATTTACTAAGCTTAATTTAGCTTGGTACAAAATCATAATAGCAGGACAACCGGTGTGGACTGAATTTACTTTACTTGTAAATAATCCTCTAACATAATATTGTTAATTATCATACTATGTCACTAAACTTACATGCTCTCCTTAAGCTGAGTACATTTTATACTTTTTACCCTAACTGAGGTTCTTGCAGGGCCAGATCTTCATGTTTTAAAATTTTACATTATGTCTGACAAAAAAAATGTTTTAATGCACTTGTTTGATATATACGAGGTGCATTCAAAAAGTATCTGACTTTATTTTTTCCAGCCAAAACTAATGCCACTTGGGCAAAATCCATTGGTGGGTGGTGATGCCACCCTTCCACCACATGTGTGAAAATCTTTGTGCCAGTAGGCTGTCTCAGTTCTCAGCTCTTAGAATACAAACTTGTAGTCCATGCTCATCAGATTTTCATTTTCACGCAAGATGACTGAACACATTGAGCAGAAATATTGCATCAAGTTTTATCAAAAGCTTAAAACCATCCAAAAGATTAAGTAGGCCTTAGCCGTGGGCAAAATTCAGATCAAGGAGTGGTACAACTGCTTCAAACATGGTCACTTCTCAGTTGAGAGTGAAGCATGCTCAGGAAAGCCACCCACAAGCCAAAATGAGGAGCTGACTGAGAAAGTTTGGCGAATAGTCATGGAAGACCATGTAACAATCCAGGAAATTGCTCACAAAGTGGAAATAAGCACCAAATCAATGCATTCCATTTTAACAAAGGATTTGTGTATGCAGAGAGTTCCAGTGAAATTTGCCTGCTCATTCCACCTAAATAATCCAAGCTTTCCTGGTCAAGAACAACACACCACTTGTTCAACAGGCTTCCTACTCTCCCTTGTCACTGTGTGACTTCTGGCTCTTCCTCAATCTGAAAACTATACTGAAACGGAAGGGATTTGAGTCATGAGAGGAAATAACAAGAAAAGCATTCCAGAGTTGCTATCAGCAGTGGCAGAACAACTGGGAGAAGTGTGTAAACTCACAAGGAGAGTATTTTGAAGGAAATCAAATAAAATTTATGAAATGTACAAAATTGATATTTTATGCCAAAAAGGCCAGATACTTTTTAAATGCACCTTGTATACTTGTGCTTTGGTTAAATATTTATAACTTTTAGTCCAGATGTCAAAATATTCAATTTCAGAGCTAATAAGATTTTTAAAGGCAAAATCAATTTAGTATACTGTTTTAGCTGAGATATTATTCTGCTCAATTGTTGTTCTATCAAATAAAGATTCACATTTTTGTCATGAACATCTTTTATTATTTGATACTCAAGCAAAATACTAAACAAATTATAATATCACCATTCAGTAGTAAATCATAAAAAGTAATGGTCAATATGTTTAAAATAAACAATGATATCATATATATATATATATAATTTAAAAATTATATATATATAAACATGTTATAAAAACATCACTACAAAAATAGCCATTTTGTTTCAACACTTCTGGTGTCTTGTCAAGTGATGATGTTGAATCAACATCATTACTTGACAAAATATATATATATATATATATATATATAGATAAAAGGAAAGCTTATCTTAGCCAATGCATTTTGTCCTCTAATAGATTTTTTCAAGACAAATGTAAAGGTTTTATTTTGCAACAATTATTTATACACAGAAGTAAAAATGTTTAGAATTTTTAAATTTAAGAAAGCTCATAAATATACATCAAGCTAATTGAAAGTCAAGGTAAATTATGGAGGATGCTAAGTGACATAATTTAATGTCTAATAAACGAAAGTGAGTTATTATTATTCCTATTATTTTAGTTTCAGATTAATTCATCAATATAATAAATGCTAATATCAGTGTGTTACACTTTTTCAATTAAAAGAACACAACTCTCAATAGCTCATCTCCTTCTTCTATATAATAAATGCCAATGTCAGTGTGGTACTGTGTCACACTTCTTCAACTTTACTCCTAGAGGCTGTAGCACAACATATCATACTATTTTAGAAACAAGCTGACTCCATGAGCAAATTAAAAACATTCCAGGCCAGATTTGGACCAACAATCCTGAAATTTTGGATTCCCAAGTTTTCATTACTGTGATTGTTTTCAGCAGTTTTTACGTGATTTTGTGACAAATTTCTTTGCAAGTTAACAATTTTTATAACTTGGAAATAAATTTGGGAATAAGCAAAATTAATTGCAAAATCAGGAAAAGTCACACATGAAATAAAACTAATTGTTTATATGGAAAGTAAGGACCTATGTACATCAAATTGTCTTTAAATTATTGTTGAACTTTTAAAAGTTAAGCTTAGATATTAATGCAATACTTAAATGCAGTAAATGAATTTTGAGTTTTTCTGTAGTTTACTGTTGCCTATCACATCAACTCACAAGTAATTGTCATGATGACCAAATCAAGAGCCCTTCGCAGGACCTAGCTTAAATGCTATCCAATAGGGCATCTTTTAAGCTAGTGTATTATATGTTTTGAATAATATAAAATTTAGAATTTAACAATTTTCTTATAATTTAAAAAAAATTATTGCCATGTTTGAAAGCTTGGGTACCGGGATATTTGAAAAAACTTTGTGCACAGATTTATACTTTAGTAATGTTAAATTATATTTCTTTTTCAGATTTAATGGTAGAAATTTCACCAAAATCACCATATTTGAAATTTAAATATATGTACACAACTTTTGCGGACTCAACATTACATTCAGAAAGTTTTGAAGCAGAACTTTTATATTTTCATTAAACAACAAGGAGTATTCAGTGCTATTCTGGATTGAAGACAAAAGATTTATTTCAAATGAAGCATAAAACTTTTGCAAGCTTAAGAAAAAGAGAGTAGACTGTTCTCAAGGAATTAAGCATGATTGTGATAATTTATATTATTACATCTTTTATATCAATTTGTGAGCTTAAATATATTGCTACAAGTTGATTAAGTTGGCAGAAACATTTGAGGACGCTAAACTTTTGGTCAAATATTCTTCTGGAGTGCTGAAATGGTAACCAGCAGAAAAATCCCATCCTAGGAAAAATAACAACAATGCATTAATGTCACATTAACATACTTGCCAGGTAAGTATACATTGCAGAGTTCTTAAATGTATTCTGTTAAAGGTGTCTTTTGCTCTAATGCGTATTTGCACTTTCTAGCTTGGAGTACTATTAAGCAAATTACATTTTCTAAATTTCTTTTTTTGCTAAATTGTGATTACATAAATTGAGGAAGACGACTGCTTACATTTAGAGAAATGTGTTTTTTACCATTTCTTAACTTAGTGTTTTCAATTCTTCATTTGCATTTAATTAATAGTCAGACAACTGACACACATTTTGGGGGAGTTAATTATAATAATTTTTAAATTACTCTTTAGTATGAAGAAAACTAGTTTGTACATTCATTTCATGCCAAATATGAAATTATCTCATGAATCTGTTGCTTTTATTGTATGCTATAAAAAAAAGTTAAATGTTTTTACTATGTGTTTAAAATTATCTGTAATTTTTATATCAGATACTTTTCTTCAATGTGCTTCCCTTCAGTATATGGGCAATCATGTCAATCCAAAACTTTCTATCTCTTGTGGCATGTAGCAGTTTTTCTCTCTTTGGTTTTTGTTTCAACCAGTTTGTCAAGTTGATGGCTTTCTGTCTTCCCCTATCTCTCTTGCCCTCAATGTGCCCCATGAGAATTGTTTTCAAAGCCCTCCTTCCTTATTGTGTCCAAGGAGTTTAAGCTATATCTTTCTGATTCTGAGTATGTGTTTTTTTTCTGTTGCCATTTCTCTTTAAGACTTCCTTGTTGCTTATTTGCCCCATTCATGAAATTCTCTGTATCTTTCAGTAGAACCACACTTCTGTTGCTTCTAGTTTTCTCCTCATCAGTGGGGAGATTGTCTGTATCCATTAACATATAAGAGGGTTGATATCATATAGTGTTGTGGAGACAGAAATGGGTAACCTGGAAGACAGAACCTTGTTGTTGTTGTTGTTACTGTTGTGGAGGTTAATTCCTTCTCTGCCTTGGCAAACGTAAATTCAAGTAAAATGAATACATTGAGTATGGGTAAATAAATGTATAATTTATCTACATTTATACAAAACTAGTAACTTTTATCTGTTGCAGTTGCTAAGGCAACAAGGAGAGAGAGAATGGTGAAATTAGCAGGGAAATAGACATTGCTGATGTTATTGTAGTTTCTCTCTTAGTGTGTTGATGTTGACATGAATGCTGGTTTGTGTCACATCTCTTTCAGCTTGTCAGTGTTGACATTCAAGTTGGTCTGTTCTGAGTTTCTTTGAATTAGAGAATATATAGCTGTCATTCAGCCCTAAATTCAGATTTTGGTTTTTGCAGAGTGACACTGACTGGTCAATAAATAGTTCTGTTATGGTGTGATTAGTAGTTGGGGTGATCAAATTAAATGTGGCTGCGTGTTTCAAGATAATCAACATCCATACATTAAATTTTAAACATCAAGGAAAAATCAAGCTCAGTGAACATTAATAAAATATTGTATTAACAATGATATACAAATATCAACAATAGTATAAAGAAAGTTGTTCCCCTTTTTCCGTGATAAAAAAGGGTAAGTTTAGCTAATAAATGTTGAGTACAAAATTGAATGTAATTTAACTACAAAGTTCAATTGAAGTCTTAGCTAAATACAGAATAGTTCCACAGTGTTTTATCAGTGTAGAAAGATGTAATGTTCTTGAGTGATATCAACAGGAATTAGTATGATTACTCAAATGAGTAATAATTAAGAATTAAAATGTCAATATAGCGCCGTGCCGTATTTTCCAAGAATTGAACTGCAACTGGTGGTTTGGTTGATAGCGAAATTCTTTTATATCGATGGGTAGGCTCCGGATAGCTTAGCGCCAGAAATATAGAAAAGATACTAAAATACGCGATTGGTCAGGAAATGGACCAATCCGTGATTTTAGAGAAAAATTCGAATTACTTGCGATGGCTAAATTGTCCTATAATAAATATCATGTATTTTTTTAACCAATGAGAATTCAAGAAAATGTAGGCGTGGCACTACAGTTAATTTTATTTTGGTTAAAGTGGATGTATGCATGAAGCCTATGTGCAGAAAATGTATTTACACAGTCTGATTTAGGTCACCAAGAGGTCAACATATGGTTTGTGTAGAGGAATGTAAGAGGCACAACAATAGCAGTTCAGCCACTCTTTGTTGCTAATGGAATTTTTTTAATTCTCAGCACTATACTTAGCTTTTGGAATGCCAGTTTCATTATTCCAAAATGTCTTTGAATTTCAGTGTCAATTTTCCATCGTCTGTTAAAAATTATTACACAGCTTTATTGTTATATTTTGTAATTTTATTTTGAAGATTGAAACAAAGTAATCTCCAATTATGTTTTTATACATCTACATTGAAACTGTAAATTAATATATTCATTAAAAAATGTATATTTTGAAAGTTTTTAAGCAGAGTTTCCTTGAATAAACATTTAATTAAAATACAATTAAAAAATTCAGTACTTCTAAATTGAGAACATTAGCATATTATCAGATATTTTCAAGACGATTTAAAAATTTATCTTTGTAAATTAACATTCATTTCACGTAATATCAGTGCATATCTTTATGTAAATTTTTGATGAAAATGGGAGCATTATTTGATTTTATATGCTAATTTTGTTTATTGAGATTATTATAAAATTCTACACATTTATATTTACTGAACCAAAGTATATCTGAAATTAATGATCTAATTTTATTTAGCATTTTTATTAAAAGTCATAATGTACTTTACAGTGATCATGTTTTAAATTTTTCTTTAACAGGTCATTTCTGGGATTATCTCAATTTATAGTTCCTTTGAATACACAATTTGACATTCATTACAATACAGAATTGATTTGACACAGGAACTCTAACAAAATGCAGGTATGAAATTTAAAAATGTCCTATTTTAATAATGAAAATATTTTAAATAATTCTAAATGTTTGTACTTGCAAAAAGAATACTACACTCACACGAAAAATAACAATCTGTATTCATCTAACAGCAAAATTGTGACAGTTTAATTTGTTCAATTGCATAAATACTAACCTTTTCCATTGATATTGTATAACTAATGTAATTACATTGAAAAAAAAATACAATACATTATGATTGGTAAAAAAAAAAAATAGCAGAAAATGATGGTGTTATGTAAACTAGAAAAATAGATGAAGTGAGTGACTTATAAATCACAATGAAAACATAACATAAAATGTTTTAACTAAAATTTAACAAGACACTGAATAAACCCAACCAGAAAATTTGTTTAGTGATGAAAAGATTTTTGTTGCACATAGAGAGGCATTGTCTAACTTAGAATGATGAGGACAGTGTTTTAAGATAAAATGATGTCTTCCTTTAGTTCACTTCTACAAAACTACTATTTTAAAATATCTTTTATAGTAAAATTATTTCCTCTAATTTGCTTGAAAGGTAATAATTAATAAATATTGCTGCATAATCATATCATAGATATAAGGAAAATCATATTTTCTTGTTTAAAGTTGAAACTTAAAATCATTAAAAATTAATAGTTAGGACACAATTTTAAATGTAAACAAACAATTTTAATTTTGCATGACTTCTCATTCAACTTTCAAAATAAATCTGATAATTTTGAGAATAAAAATTTATATATTTTTCATGATAAGTGCTGAAAAGTTGTCAACCCAACCAAGAAGAGATTTTAAAAATCTGATGTTTGATCAGGTTTAGAAAATTGGATTGGACTGAGAACTTCGCAGCAGCATACCCTCTTATTATTAAAAGCATTATTATATATAGGTTTTATAATCATCCTTATAAAAGAAATTGTAAGTTCCTTTATGATAGGTTTTCCATTCACAATATTTTTTGTTCATTTGCTATTTATTCCTTCTGGAAACAGATATAGAAAGTTTATTTTTTGAAAATTGAAAGCTACAGTTTTGTAATACAAAGTGATGTTATTTTGTTTTCAAAATTAAGTTATTGAGGGAGATAAATTCAATTATCATTATTTTATAGATTGTTAGAATGCAGTTGAATTTATCTCTTAAACCAAAAAGATAAATTGTCAATCAGAGTGGGATGGTACCATATTTTAATATGCTATGAAAAAAATGTGGACAGGACAAGAAAAGTAAATTTTGAAAGAATTCTTGCAGTTATAATTTTTAAATATAAAATTTAAAAAATTGCTTGCATCTGTTGGTTACATTTTAATATTGTCTGTTAATAGGAACTAAGAAATTTATATTAAAAATGTAAAAATATAAATAATTTTTTTCCATAAAATATCTTCCTTATTAACTTTATGATACAGGATAATTTTTTTAAAAGTCCAACATTTAGATTTCTTCTCATTTTATGTATCTGAGAACTTTAAAAAATATCAAAGCACTGTGAATTATAATGACATCACACAACCTGATTATTTCTTAAACTAATAATAAATATATTATAAAATTAAAAACATTATGAGTCCTATTCCAAATAATGTAGAAATTATTTTTGTAAAATATTGTATATTCCTGTATAAAACTTCAAGTCAGTTTTTAGTGCATAGCAGCGATTTTGTTTATTTCTATGTCTGTAATTATTCTATGATTGTAACATAAGTTATATTTAATAACATGATGTGTAAGATAA